CCCCCCCCAGGTAAAAACGTTAGTGTCGCTCTCGACCTCCACCCTCAATCTGTACCACAGCCTTCTAAAATTGTTATGCTATTTTAATAATTTTTGATGACATGGGGGAAGAACATTTCTTTCTAATTACGGGGTGCCAAACAAGTCAACCAACTTCCTCTTGGCGTGTTAGGCGCGTCTTTCTGTCCTTCGGTTCGTGGCTCGTGGTCCTTCGGGAGTCGCAGGAGAAGACATCGCGTTGTTGGGCCCTGCGCGCTCTGGAGAGGACGACAGCAGACTTAGGACAGCCGGGATCGGAGAACAATAGACGGTAGGGCGGCCGTATGGTCAGAAGGAAACGATTACTGGTGTCTCGCAAACTTGGGCGAAGGTGCTGGTCGTAGGACTGGCAGGGTTCAGGTCTGAACGCTGCGTCCGTCAGACGAACTGGATCGGCGAGAGTTCGAAGAGGTGAGATGCGTAAAGAGCCGTCGGGGTAACTTGTCACCGTCAGGCGTGAACCCTTCGCCTTCTGGCTAAACTTCGGGGTCTTGGCAAACACGTGGTATAGGATCGAGCGTCTTATAGTACCAGCCGAAAGTCTTTACTAGTTTTCCTTGCAGCGGAACGTTAGAGTTATTGTGGGAAGGCTAGAAGTCTGAAGTGAGGTGCTAGGACCACTTCAGCAACTCGTCAGTTTCTGGTCGGTCAGTCGAGGCAAGACTGACTGATTTTAACCAGAGTTACACTGCTGTCTTCTAAAGACATCCTGGCCAGCTTTTATGCGGTGGGGTCCTTGGTCTGGGAGACAATAAACGCAATCTGAAATCTAGGGAGGTTCACTCTCAAAAACTACAACGAATAACCAATAAAGTTTTCAAAATTAAATACGGAACCACAATCTGGCCCGATTTATTCAACACAATAAGAAAAAGAGATGGAGCAACGGTTCCTGAACAAAATACACAAGGGAAAAAAATGGAACAACGGTTCCTATACAGAATATACCCTCTTTACGCAGAACGGGGCCGTAAATCCCCCAAAGGAATTATTTAAGCTGTCGGTCCCGAAGACCTATTGGCAAACTAATATCTACAAATTTACAGGACCTTAATACAAAAATATACATCGTACTCCATACTATACGGAAGTACACGCTATACCACATTCCTCACAGAATATACAAGCCAAAGGATATTATACAGAATTTAACGTTAACGAGTGCTAACGGACTCACGATACCCTTGCGCCAAGGAAATGACTCCGCGAGGCGTGGACTGTATCGGCGGTAATGCAAAACCAACATTTGACCCATAAACGATATTAAATAGCACCGATCCTCTAGAGCGCCACCGATGAGCAATCCGCGGATACAATAATGATCGGGAATGCGTAAGGCACGACACTGCGTCACGGTCTATCTCTCATTCACGTAAATATGGTCAACTCACAAAAGCGTCACTCACCGCCCTCCTAGTCGCTCCAGATATCCCCAAGACACAATCTCTTTGATACTGGGTTCCTCAAGCGGTCGCAAAACGGCACGGTAGACTATACAATACTATACAAAAAATCCAACAAAACTAAAATAAAACAATACGAGACTATACAAAGTTTATCAGACGAAAACACGTCTGTTCCTAGGCTCGGCCACACCGTGAGTGACGCTAAGAATTTCGAAAATCGGGAACCTTCCCAAGAGGCGCGCTGTAATACATCCCTTAGGCCAAGCTGATTGGCGGATCCATCGACTTCGCCAGAGCGCTCGCGATCTTCAATTGTTTTCTTCGATTCCGATAAAGTAGATCCTGGCATATTTCGTGTTTGGAATGGCTGCAGTGATATTTTCGGGAGGTGGGAATCACATCCACCTCTGCTCCCTCGATGGACGGCTCCAGGCAGTTACTGCAACTTCCGTATGCCCTCTGGATCGGGGAGACGCTTGCTGAATTTTCCGCGTAGCTGGCAGCTTAGGGTGTGTGCTCCGGTCTGGCTGTCGCGTCGCCTCGCCAGCGCGCTCCACCGGGCCCGTGGTTGGCACTCTCGGGGCCCGCAGTATTCAAAGTTTGACAAGATCTTTCCGGATCCGCTTCAAAAATATAAAACACAAAAAAAAAAACGTTCCCACGAGGGAAATAAATACAAATTCAACAAATAATATACAGTCAAACGCCACGAAATCCCTTCCCCACGCATAGGGCCCCACGATGTAGCCGGAAATCGCAGAATGTTACATTTTGTGGCGTGCATGTCGAAATGCCACGTCACAACATATACACAGCCAATTATACCCACGGCCAACCCACATATATTGTTATACCCCAACCCATACACATACTATACATACTACATATGCCATTATCTTTACTGACGGTACTAGACAAGTATATAAGTTGATCAATCGTCGAATATAATCAATTCTTATGATTTATACTTATTAATTTACGTTTTTGCTTTGTTTTATATTCCGCTTATATTGTTGGAATCCTCAATTATGAAGTATGGTATCTTTTATACGATCGGAAAATGTTACGCTTATTATTCTATCAGGCATTATGTTCTGTGACGTGATTCTCCCGAATCGCGCCACAAAAATTAATAAAATTTTCTTTTCCGCTCAACCTAGGCTCCGCACGATAATCCACTAGCGAAATTCCGTCTGCGACATTACCATTAAGTTCTTCGTTTGTGAACGTCTACTATCGTCCTTGATGTCAGTTCCGATTACGTTTTCGAAGATTAATTATTCTTTTTCTTTTGTTACGATATATTCAATCTCAACTCTCGAGTCTTTTGACAACGACAGAAGGGCGTGAGGACAGGACAGCCACGTTGGAGATTTTGGAGTATTTTATGGCGATTCCGTTTGGCTGTTGATGCCGCTTTTGGGAGTTTTGACGTAAAGGACAACCTTGGAGGGACCAGCACGCCGCTGCCACCGACGAAGAGATGCCCGCCGGTTCCGTCGACCTGGATGTCGCCGTGATGCTGCTGCTGCCACGACGCCAAAGAAGCCCTAGAGCACCCGGGAGGGAACTCCGCCGTTTCCGTCGGCCGGCAGGGAGATGAGGCTTTCCTCCCTGGCCCGCCTAAGGCCTGCCGATCGCCCACGTCAGCGCCGCCGACATTCCTTACTCGCCAGGCCCAGTGTACTTCGAGGGCCGTGCCGTCAGGATCGCCGTTCGTCTCCGCTCGGCCGCTTCCGCCGCTGCGCGTCGACGCTCGGGAGAGCTCGGCTACCCTCAACAACGTTCGTCCTGTTCCGGGGCCGTCCCGCCCCACCTGAGCCCGCTTGCCAACGATCGACGATCGATAATTCATTGTCGTGCGAAGTCTTGAAGAATACTTACGTGCTAATTATCTAGGACCGAGAGAATAAGAGAGAGAGAGAGAGAGAGAGAGAGAGAGAGAGAGAGAGAG